CCCCAAAACCCCAAAACCCCAAAACCCCAAAACCCCATAAAAACCACTAGCAATAATATTTATTTACATTATTCACAAATATGAACTTCAGAGGAATTAAGTAAGAAATCTGGTTACTTATAAACTAACTCAGAGAACAGGCTTACACCCTAAAAGACTAATTATTAGAACAAACAAAATAAATTAGGGCTTGATAGAGAATTTTACAGCTTGGAATGACTGAAAATGTGAGGGTGTTGTGGGGTTACCTTCGGAATGGGGTAGATGGGAGATATAGACGGTAAAGTATACAAAGGTTTAGAGTTAATAGTTTCAAGTTCTTGAGAATTTTGATGTGGAGCAGTAATCACCCATGTTCATAACTTAACCGTGGCATAGGCAAGAAATAGAAGAAGAGAAAAATAGAAGCCTGAAGGGGTGTGGAAGAGAGGAACACAGTGAGATTTGGGATTTGGAGAAGGTGAAGGAGGAACAGAGCTTTGGAGGTGCCAGGGATGGTGGACAGGGAAGAAATGAGGGGGATGGGCAAGGAAGAGGTGGTAAGTGGGGGTCTGGGGGTGAAGAGGGGATGGAGGCTGGGGTTGGAGGTTAGGGGGTTTGATGTTGATTGGTTTAGGAGGACTGGAGATCTTGGAAGGAAGGCTTTCGCAAGATGAAAAGAAACATGAATCTAAGGCATTTTCTGTAGAAGAAGGTATTTCTGGTTGTCATCAAAATCTTGGAGAGAATGGAAACAAGCTTGCATCAACTCCACTGAAATTTGAAAATGATTTTAACAAGAAGTGTAAAAGTTTTGAAAATGGCTTAACCAATCACAAAGATATTCAAAGTAAAAAGATGAAATAATGTCTGAAACTCAAACTCAACTAAGCTATTAAGAAGGTCTTGCTTGAGGATTCTTGCAGACATGGCTGGGAATATAGTTTGCTCCCAAGGAGATCAAGAGAAGATCCTTGGTCTCCAAGATATACAGCAACTGAATTTTTTTAACTTGATGGCTGACTATAATAAAAGATACTTTATATCTCAAGGAATTTTTCAACTGAATGGTAAGACTAGGTTCAGCATTAATCTTCTGACTAAGCACATTCAGAACCTTATTTTCCCTATAGTTAACCAATATGGAATGGAAGAGATCAAGTTCAACAGGAGAGTTTGCACAATCAGGTTTTCACTAAAGCATTTTCAAGAATGCATAAACCCGGTGATCCTAACTTGCAAAATTCAAGTAAAAAAATTGGGAGCCTAAACAAGGTAATTTCAGCATAAATTTCTAACTCATTGTGTTTAAGAAGTATTAGTTTTAGATTTTTATCAGAATTAAAGTTTTGTAGAGTCTACTGAGAAATCTCCAAGAGTCATAATTACCCTCAGAAGGTCTGGAAGAGAGTACAAGAAGCAATTCTGGGAATCTTTAAAAGAAGCTAACAAGGCTTTAAATTATGAGCATCGGTTTGAAAGATTTGAGAGTAAGACCTCCTTCTTAATTTTCTTCAAGCTTATTTTTATCTAGAGCTTTTGAAAGGGTTCGAGAACTTTCTTAGAATAAAAAAAATCAAAATTTAGTAAAAATCTAACTCTAAATTATAGACTCTAATATCCTAAGCCATTTAAGCCACCTTAGACTTCAAATTGAAAGCTTCAGAGGTCTTTTCAGCTCAGAGTGCTTTCCTTCATGAACAAGTGAGTGGTACAATTCTTTCCATGCTCAAACAGAAGTGACTCATGAAGACAATCCTTGTAAGGAAGAAGGTCCTTAATCAATCTGTGTTTGACTCTTTGTTAGACAATATAATCTGTAATTCAATACAATTTATTCTTTCTCAAAATTGATATCTTCATTCATGGATTGGAATACACTTTCAGCTATGTCTAGATAATTTCAGAGCAATTTTGCTTGGCGGCTACCTAGCCCGAAGAGCATGATTGCAAGCATTTAAGTTTCACAGAAATGGATTTAGAATGAAAACATCTTTTTAATAATCTATTGTAGAAATTAACATGGGGTTTTGGGGTTTTGGGGTTTTGGGGTTTTGGGGG